TTCGATCCTTCAGTCCTTTTTCGTCCGTTTTCGTCTTTTTTCGACTTTTTCGTCCTTCTTCGGCCTTTTCGTCCTTCTTTGTCCTATTCGTCCTTTTTCATCCTTTTCGTAATTTTTCATCCTATTCGTCCTTTTTCGTCATTGTTCGTTCTTTTTCGTCTTTTTCGTCCTTTTTCGTCATTCTCTACCTTTTCGTCCGTTTTCATCCTCTTCATCCTTTTTCAACTTTTCGACGTTTTCATCCATTTCGTCCTTTTTCGTCGTTTTCGTCGTTTTTCGTTCTTTTTCGTCTATTTCGACCTTTTCGTCCTTTTTTGTCCTTTTCGACCTTTCCGTCCTTTTTCGTCCTTTTCGACTTTTTTCGTCTATTTCGACCTTTTCGACCTTTTCGTCGTTTTCCGTCATTTTTCGTTTTTTTTCGGCCTTTTTCGTCCTTCTTTGCCCTATTCGTCCTTTTTCGTCATTTTCGACCTTTTCCTCCGTTTTCATCCTCTTCGTCCTTTTTCAACTTTTCGACGTTTTCGTCCATTTCGTTCTTTTTCGTTCTTTTCGTCGTTTTTCGTCCTTGTACGTCCTTTTTCGTGCTTGTTCGTCCTTTTTCGTCCTTTTCGTAATTTTTCATCCTTTCCGTCCTTTTCGACTCTTTCGTCCTATTCGTCCTTTTTCGTCCTCTTTCGTCTTTTTTCGTCCTTTTCGTAATTTTTCATCCGCTTCGTCCTTTTCGACCTTTCCGTAATTTTTCATCCTTTCCGTCATTTTAGACCTTTTCGTAATTTTTCATCCTCTTCGTCCGTTTTCATCGTTTTTCGACCTTCTCGTCCTTTTTCGGCCTTTTTCGTGCTTCTTTGTCCTATTCGTCCTTTTTCGTCCATTTCGTAATTGTTCATTCTTTTCGTCGTTTTTCGTCATTGTTCGTTCTTTTTCGTCTTTTTCGTCATTTTTCGTCATTTTCGACCTTTTCGTCCGTTTTCATCCTCTTCGTCCTTTTTCAACTTTTCGACGTTTTCATCCATTTCGTCCTTTTTCATCCTTTTCGTCGTTTTTCGTCCTTTTACGTCCTTGTTCGTCCTTTTTCGTCCTTTTCGTAATTTTTCATCCTTTCCGTCCTTTTCGACTCTTTCGTCCTATTCATTCTTTTTCGTCCTATTTCGTCTTCTTTCGTCTTTTTTCGTCGTTTTCGTAATTTTTTATCCTTTTCGTCCCTTTCGTCCTTTTTCGTCCTTTTTCATGCTGTTTCATTCTTTTCGTCCTTTTTCGTCCATTTCGACCTTTACGTCCTTTTTTGTCCTTTTCGACCTTTCCGTCCTATTCCGTCCTTTTCGACTTTTTTCGTTATTTCGACCTTTTCGTCCTTTTCCGTCCTTTTTCGTTTTTTTAGACCTTTTCGTCCTTTTTCGTCCTTTGTCATTCTTTCTCCTACTATTCGTAATTTTTCATCCTCTTCGTCCTTTTAGACCTTTCCGTAATTTTTCATCCTCTCCGTCATTTTAGACCTTTTCGTCCGTTTTCGTCCTTTTTCGTCCGTTTTCGTCCTTTTTCGACCTTTTCGTCCTTTTTCGGCCTTTTTCGTCCTTCTTTGTTCTATTCGTCCTTTTTCATCCATTTCGTAATTTTTCATGCTTTTCGTCATTTTTCGTCATTGTTCGTTCTTTTTCGTGTTTTTGGTCCTTTTTCATTTTCGACATTTTCGTCCGTTTTCATCCTCTTCGTCCTTTTTCAACTTTTCGACATTTTCATCCATTTCGTCCTTTTTCATCCTTTTCGTCGTTCTTCGTCCTGTTACGTCCTTTTTCGTCCTTGTTCGTCCTTTCTCGCCCTTTTCGTAATTTTTCATCCTTTCCGTCCTTTTCGTCTCTTTCGTCCTATTCGTCCTTTTTCGTCCTTTTTCGTCCTCTTTCGTCTTTTTCGTCGTTTTCGTAATTTTTTATCCTTTTCGTCCCTTTCGTCCTTTTTCGTCCTTTTTCATGCTTTTTCATTCTTTTTGTCCTTTTTCGTCCATTTCGACCTTTTCGTCCTTTTCGTCCTTTTCGACCTTTTCGTCCTTTTTCGTCCTTGCCTCCTTTTTTGTCCTTTTCGACTTTTTTCGTCCATTTCGACCTTTTCGACCTTTTCGTCATTTTTCGTCCTTTGTAGTTTTTTTTTGACCTTCTCGTTTTTTTTCGTCCTTTGTCGTTCTTGTTCGTCCTTTTCGTAATTTTTCATCCTCTTCGTCCTTTTCGACCTTTCCGTAATTTTTCATCCTTTCCGTCATTTTAGACCTTTCCGAATTTTTCATCCTTTTCGTCCGTTTTCGTCCTTTTTCGACCTTTTCGTCCTTTTGCGGCCTTTTTCGTCCTTCGTTGTCCTATTCGTCCTTTTTCATCCTTTTCGTAATTTTTCGTCCTTTTCATCCTTATTCGTCCTTTTCATCGCTTTCCGTTCTTTTTCGAACTTTCCGTCCTTGTTCGTTCTTTTTCGTTCTTTATCATCTGTTTTCGTCCTTTTTCGACATTTCCGTCCTTTTTCGCCTTCTTTTCCTATTTTCCCTCGACCTCTCTCATGTTCCTTTCGCTCTTTTTTTTCTATTGTCTATCCTCCTGACTTTCATTCTCCCTCTCTCTCTCTCCCTTTGTCTTTGTTTCTCTCTCTATCTCCCTTTTACCGCTTCATGTCTTTCACTTTTACTATTGATATTTTTCTCTCTTTCTCTCTCCTTGTCTTTCTCTGGAACTTAATCAAGATCAATTCGAAAAACATTTAATTAAAAAATTGCACTTCTTTCTTTCTCCAATTCACTCCCTCTCATTCTTTTTCTTCTGTTTCTTTTCCGTGTCTTTTTTTCTTCATTCTTGTTCGCTTTTTATCTTACCCTCTATCTTACTGATCCCCTGGCGAGGGTAAATTCACTCTTCTCCGCATTCTTTTCCTATTTTCCCCTCCCTATCTCTCGTTTTTCTTTCACTCTTCCTTTTGCTTAGTTACTTCTCTCATTCAACCTCTGTTTCTTTTTTTATCGCGCTTTCTCTATTTTCTAATCCTCTGACTTTCATTCTCTCTCTTTTTCCTTCTCTTTTTCGGTTTAATCTCTTCAAGATTGACTTATTATCTTTTTCTCTCGTTCAGTTCACTCCCCCTCATTATTTTTCTTTTATTTTATTTCCCTCTCATCGTCTTCTTTTTCTAGGTTCCCCCGCTCTTTCCTTTTTCACTCATTCTTTTTCTTGTTTAATTCCGTTTCTTGTTCAACCTCTGTCTCTTTTTATTCACCTCTCTCTATTTTCTATCCCCTTGAATTTCATTCTCTCTCTTTCCACTTAATCTTTTTCACTTTCACTTCTTATCTTTTTTTATCCTTTCACAAGTTAGAAAGAAATTCCAGACAAACCTAATCAAGATCAATTTGAAACAAAATTAATTAAAAATTGCATCTGCTTCCCTCTGTCCAGTTCACTCCCTCTCCTTCTCTTTCTCGCTCCCTCTCTCTGTCTCTCGTTGCCTTTTTCTCTTCGTATACTGTTTCTTACCTCTGTAATAAGATGAAAAAAATCTAGAAAAATTTAACGAAAATCTACAGTTTACCCTCTCCCATTCTTTTTCTCCTGTTTCTTTTGGTTCTCTTTCCTTTTTTTTTCCTGCTCTTTTTCGCAATTATCTTGCTCTTTATCTTTGTGATCACCTGGCGAGGCTCATTAACCCTTCTTCACCTTCTCCCCCCCTCCCTCTTTACCTCTCTCTCTCTCACTCTCACCAAAAAAACACTCTCGACGTGAATTCCAAAGTAACACAATAAAAATCTCTCCATACTCTTTACCTCTCCCCCTTTTTTCGCATTCCCTCTACTCTTTCTTTTCTTCACTTTTCAGCTAGTGGAAACTCTAAACTTTTTATCTCTATTTTTCTGTCTCATCCCCGTCTTATTCTTAATCTCTTCCTTTTTGATAGAGAAAAAAGAGGAGGAAGAGTGAAACCAGACCTGACCTGACTTGGTCAAAATCAAAGAATCAAAATCAAAATTATAATCAAAATCAAAAAATATTTGTAACGTGTTTCAACTGCAAATGGTAGTTTTTTATGTAAGGAGAGCATTCTTTGGCTTGTTCAAAAAAAATTGTACCGGGGGTTGCTTGAAAAATATTTAAGATGTTAAAAAATATTATTTCCACACAAATTGTCTTAAAATAAGGATAAAGTCGAGCCAGACTCATTTTAAACTCACAGCATGTCTTTAGTGGAAAAACTGTACTTATTTTCATTAGTCTCACTCTAAACACAATATTTTTTTAATAAAAAGAAAATAGTTTTTTTATGCGTAGCTGCGAAATTGAACATTTACCTCCTATGTCGCGGTATCTACAAAATCTCCTTTAATATATACTTTCAAGAAAAACAAAACGATATTGTATTGTTTAAAGTCCAGAACCGGTGACCTTTTCCCATGCCTCCCCCGCCCCTTCAAGCCCAACCTGACAGGTTATTTTCCGGCTGTGGACAAACGATGCAACACGTGTATCTCCAGCACACTTGTCCGAAATGCGAAAATAATCTCCAAGTCATCAGAAATCCCGTCCCCGGAAGATAATCCGGTTTTTGTATGGATGGAGTGCAGTGGTGCGTTTGCAGGCTGCAGGAATCGCGCAACGTAAGCAGCAGGAACGGCCCTTGCGTTAATCACGTCCCATTTTCGCCGCAAACGATCTCCATGTGTCGACGCGCTGATGGCACCAACACGAAATCGATGCCGTAAGTGTCGAGTTATGACTTCTGTGACGAAGAGCAGATTATTGATAAGACTCCCGCCGCCGTTAAAAGCGCTTTATTTTATTCCTGCCGAGCGCCGTCCCTGCAGGAATCATCTCCCCGTAATTACCGCCCCGACACGAGTCAATCCACGTCGAGTCAATTGCCGCTAATTACAATTCAACTCGTCCAAAGTCGCGACGACTGCGTAAAAATTCAATTACGTTCAGCGAGTCGTCGGAGGATTCAAAACGTGAAAACAATAATTAAAAGGGTCGAGTTACCTCGGCCGTGCGTGGGGAGCTGGGAGCTTTCGTAGTTTTTGAGGAGGTTTTCGAGCACCATGGTGATGTTCCTGCTGACGACGTCGTTGTGGGAGCGTTTGAGGATTTTCGAGGGGGTGCTGGTGGCGGAGAAGGCGATGACGACGCTGTTGAGGGACATGTTGAGGGCGAGGGGGTCCTCCAGGCTCGCGCCGGTGTGGGGGGGCTCTGAGAGAACGGGTCTGGAATTAAAAAATGGGGGCACTTGAGTGGTAACTGTGTTAAGTCGATCGTCACTAGCGTACAGAACGATGGAGATTGGCGGCGCCGGCTAATTGGCAAAAAATTGTAAACAAGTGGGGTACTTTAAATTTTATTCGGTAATAAATCAGGTCATTGCAGGTTTTAACGATTCGGAGAGCGTCGAAGTGCAACAGGAATGAATTAGTGGGCTTGTTTTACTGAGCTGTTTGTACGTTTATCAAAGCAATATTTATTTTGGAAGTGCGACAAGATTTTATTAATATTATGTGTGTGTGACAAATAGGCGGAAACGGAAGGCTAATTTTTCGTATTTTATTATGTACAATTTGACAACAATTCCCAGTTGATTGAACCCATTTTAACCAATTTTTTGGAAAAACTTTGAATTCAATTTTCACGTCCATTTGAATAAATGTTACGCCGTTTTCGAATTTGTACCTGATGGAAGATTATCTACAATTTGACCTCAATCTCCTGACGATTGAACCCATTTTAATCATTTTTTTTGGAAAAATTTTCGAAAATGTATTCTCAATTTTCACGTTAATTTGAACAGATGTTGGGACAGCTATTTCAGATTTGTAATTAACAGAAGATTTTGTACAATTTGACAACAAAGCCCAATTGATTGAACCCATTTTAACCAATTTTTTTTGAACAATTTTGAAAATTTTATATTCTATTTTCACGTCTATTTGAATAATTGTCGTGACGGCGGTTTCGGATTTGTAACTGGCGAAAGATTATCTACAATTTGACTCCAATTTCCTGTCGATTGAACTCATTTTAACTATTTTTTTTTTTTTTGGGAAAATTTTGAAAATTGTATACTAAATTTTCACGTTTATTTAAAAAGATCTCAAGGCGGCTATTTCAGATTTGCAATTAATAGAAAATTATCTACAATTTGACAACAATCTCCAGTTGATTAGTCAAATTTTAACGAATCTTTTGGAAAAATTTTGAAAATTTTAAACTCCCTTTTGGCATTTATTTGATTAGATATTGTAAAGGCGTTTCCGGATTTGCAACTGGCGGAAGATTATTATCAATGATTTGACCACAATTTTCAGACCACTGAACTCATTTTGAGCATTTTTTGGAAAAATTTTGTAAATGATGTACTCTCAAGTAGCGTTTATTTGAAGAGATATCCAGACGCCTATTTCAGATTTCCAATTAGCAGATGATTATGTACAATTTAACAACAATTCCCAGCTGATTTCACCCACTTAAACCAATTTTTTTGAGCAATTTTGAAAATTTTATATTCTCTTTTCACGTCTATTTGAATAATTGTCGTGACGGCGGTTTCGGATTTGTAACTGGCGGAAGATTATCTACAATTTGACTCCAATTTCCTGACGATTGAACTCATTTTAACTATTTTTTTTTTTTGGGAAAATTTTGAAAATTATATACTAACTTTTCACATTTATTTGTAAAGATCTCAAGACGGCTATGTCAGATTTGCAATTAATAGAAAATTATCTACAATTTGACAACAATCTGCAGTTGATTAGTCAAATTTTAACGAATCTTTTGGAAAAATTTTGAAAATTATAAACTCCCTTTTGGCGTTTATTTGATTAGATATTGTAAAGGCGTTTCCGGATTTGCAACTGGCGGAAGATAATTATCAATGATTTGACCACAATTTTCAGACCACTGAACTCATTTTGAGCATTTTTTGGAAAAATTTTGTAAATGATGTACTTTCAAGTAACGTTTATTTGAAGAGATATCCAGACGGCTATTTCAGATTTCCAATTAGCAGATAATTATGTACAATTTAACAACAATTCCCAGTTGATTTCACCCATTTAAACCAATTTTTTTGAACAATTTTGAAAATTTTATATTCTCTTTTCACGTCTATTTGAATAATTGTCGTGACGGCGGTTTCGGATTTGTAACTGGCGGAAGATTATCTACAATTTGACTCCAATTTCCTGACGATTGAACTCATTTTAACTATTTTTTTTTGGGAAAATTTTGAAAATTATATACTAAATTTTCACGTTTATTGAAAAAGATCTCAAGACGGCTATTTCAGATTTGCAATTAATAGAAAATTATCCACAATTTGACAACAATCTCCAGTTGATTAGTCAAATTTTAACGAATGTTTTGGAAAAATTTTGAAAATTTTAAACTTCCTTTTGGCGTTTATTTGATTAGATATTGTAAAGGCGTTTCCGGATTTGCAACTGGCGGAAGATAATTATCAATGATTTGACCACAATTTTCAGATCAGTGAACTCATTTTGAGCATTTTTTGGAAAAATTTTGTAAATGATGTACTTTCAAGTAACGTTTATTTGAAGAGATATCCAGACGGCTATTTCAGATTTCCAATTAGCAGATGATTATGTACAATTTATCAACAATTCCCAGTTGATTTCACCCATTTAAACCAATTTTTTTGAACAATTTTGAAAATTTTATATTCTCTTTTCACGTCTATTTGAATAATTGTCGTGACGGTGGTTTCGGATTTGTAACTGGTGGAAGATTATCTACAATTTGACTCCAATTTCCTGACGATTGAACTCATTTTAACTATTTTTTTTGGGAAAATTTTTAAAATTTTATACTAACTTTTCACATTTATTTGAAAAGATCTCAGGACGGCTATGTCAGATTTGCAATTAATAGAAAATTATCTACAATTTGACAACAATCTCCAGTTGATTAGTCAAATTTTAACGAATTTTTTGGAAAAATTTTGAAAATTTTAAACTCCCTTTTGGCATCTATTTGAATAGATATTGTAAGGGTGTTGTTTTATTTGTTACTGGAGGAAGATTATCAACGATTTGAGTCCAATTTTCAGACCACTGAACCCATTTTGACCATTTTTTTGGAAACATTTTCTAAATGATGTACGCACATTTCATATTTATTTGAACAGATATCGAGACGGCTATTTCAGATTTCCAATTAGCAGATGATTATGTACAATTTGACAACAATTCCAAGTTGATTAAACCCATTTCAACTAATTTTTTAGAAACATTTTGAAAATTCAAAATTCACTTTTCACTTGTATTTGAATAATTGTCATGACCGCGTTTTCGGATTTGTAATTGGTGTAAGATTATCTAAATTTGACTCCAATTTCCAGACGATTGAACCCATTTTAATCATTTTTTTGGAAAAATTTTGGAAGCTTTAAATACACTTTTCAAGTCTATTTGAATAAATGTCTTGAGGGCAGGTTGAGATTTCTAACTGGTGGAAAATTATCTACAATTTGACTACAATTTTCAGACGATTGAACCCATTTAAGCCATTTTTTGGAAAAATTTTGAAAATTGTGTACTCACTTTTCGCGTCTAATTAAACAGATTTCAAGATGGTTATTTCGGATTCGTAATAAAGAGGAGATTATGTATAATTTGACAACAATTCCCAGTGGGTTAAACCCACTTTTTCCAATTTTTTGGAAAAATTTTGAAAATTTTAAATTTACTTTTCGACGTCTTTGTGATTAAATGTTGTGACGGTGTTTACGAATTTGTAACTGACGGAAGATTGTCTTCATTATCACTCCAATTTCCAGACGATTGAACCTATTTCAACAACTTTTTTGGAAAAAATTTGAAAATTGTATACTCAAATTTCACAGTTATTTGAAAAAATGTCGAGACGGCTATTTCAGATTTGGAATTAACACAAGATTAAGTACAATTTGACAACAATTCCCAGTAGATTGAACCCATTTTAACCATTTTTTTGAAGAAATTTTGAAAATTTTATATTCTCTTTTCACGTCTATTTGAATAATTGTCGTGACGGCGTTCTCGGATTTGTAACTGGCGGAAAAATATATAAATTTGACTCCAATTTCCAGACGATTGAACCCATTTTAATCATTTTTTTGGAAAAATTTTGGAAGTTTTAAGTACACATTTCAAGTCTATTTGAATAAATGTCTTGACGGCAGTTTGAGATTTGTAACTGGTGGAAAATTATTTACAATTTGACTACAATTTCCAGACGATTGAACCCATTTAAATATTTTTTTTGGAAAAATTTTGGAAATTGTGTACTCACTTTTCACGTCTAATTGAATAGATTTGGAGACGGTTATTTCCGATTCGTAATTAAGAGGAGATTATGTACATTTGACAACAATTCCCAGTGGATTAAACCCATTTTTTCCAATTTTTTGGAAAAATTTTGAAAATTTTAAATTCACTTTTCGACGTCAATGTTAATAAATGTCGTGACGGTGTTTTCGAATTTGTAACAGACGGAAGATTATCTTCATTATCACTCCAATTTCCAGACGATTGAACCTACTTTAACAAATTTTTTGAAAAAATTTTGAAAATTGTATACTCAAATTTCACAGTTATTTGAACAGATGTCGAGACGGCTATTTCTGATTTGTGATTAACACAAGACTAAGTACAATTTGACAATAATTCCCAGTAGATTGAACCCATTTTAACCATTTTTTAGAAAAATTTTGAAAGTTTTAAATACACTTTTCAAATCTATTTGAATAAATATCTTGACGGCAGTTTTAGATTTGTAACTGGTGGAAAATTATCTACAATTTGACAACAATTTCCAGACCATTGAACCCATTTGAACCACTTGTTTGGAAAAATTTTGAAAGTTGTGTACTCACTTTTCACGTCTAATCGAACAGATTTCGAGACGGTTATTTCAGATTCGTAATTAAGAGGAGATTATGTACATTCGACAACAATTCCCAGTGGATTAAACCCATTTTTCCAATTTTTTGGAAAAATTTTGAAAATTTTAAATTTACCTACTTTTCCACATCTATGTGAATAAATGTCGTGACGGTGTTTTCGAATTTGTAACTGACGGAAGATTATCTTCATTATCACTCCAATTTCCAGACGATTGAACCTATTATGACAACTTTTTGGAAAAATTTTGAAAAATGTATACTCAGATTTCACAGTTATTTGAACAGATGTCGAGACGGCTATTTCAGATTTGTAATT